CATTATCTAACACATGTGGAATATTTCTGAAATAGATATTCCTTATTGCATTTTTTTTTCTTTGAGTCATAGGAAGAAAAGTCCCTTTTATGTTCTTTTAATATTTGCTTTTATTCACTTCAGCTTCAGTTAGCTCACTTCCATATACCAAGATTCTTTTCAAAACAGGAGAGAGAAGAGGTAAAGGCAAATGTGGGAAGGGAAGCTACTTGGTGACATGACAGCCACTCCTTGGTAGGAGTTATTTCTACCTAAAACATATACGCCATATTAAGAAGCCACAGGGAAGAAATAAATGGATGTGGATGGCAGGTTTTCATTCATTTCCTTGACATCTCAGAATACTGTAAATAAGTTTGTGTGTTTCAATTCAAACAGTTCCACGATCTTGGAGGTCTTAATCATTTGTTTTGTTTTGTTTTTACTCTTTACTATTTTTTTTTTGAATTTTATTTTTTTATACAGCAGGTTCTTATTCGCTATTTTATACACATTAATGTATATAGGTCTTAATCATTTGTATTAACAGTTTCTGGAGTGTACAAAGCTCGGGCTTAAGGACCATGATTGGCATTCAATGTAGTCAGACTGCATTAGGCAGATGTACAACCTTGTTCATGGCTGTATTTGATCATCTTTCTTTAAAAGTAACTTCAGGCTGATGAAGTGGCTTAGCACCCTCCTGTGTTTTCAGCCTGTTAGTCATGCCCCACCAGAACAACTGGCTCTGCTGGGCACCTGCACGCTTCTCCAAATGAAACCAAAGTCGGCAAGGTGAATGGGAAGGACTGGCAAGTGGCATTCAACCCGGGAAAAAAGTTTAAACGTGGCATATAACCCGGCAGCCCTGTTTTTAAATGTATCTAGGGTTGTGGTTTTATGCAGGTATGGTATGGGGAACAGGTTAGGAGATGCCTGCCGTAGAAAAGATAGTTTGTTACATATGGTTTCCAAGAGGAAGAGGCACGAGGTGCCACATCAGGCCACGCAGGGCCACGTGCAGAGGCACCAGGGTTGCTCAGGAGGAGAGGAAGTAAGGGAAAAACGTGGGCAAAAGCCTTTCCTGTGGTTTCTGCAGGCTAAGCAGGTTTAGGACTGGATAGCTTCAAATAATTTCAGTGCGTTCTGGGGCACAGGGATGATTCCTAATTGTCCAGCACCTGGCCCTGGTGTGACTTAGGGCAGGGGGATAGTGTTCTGGACTGCAGGAGCCTGATAAAAAGGGGCAGGTGTGGGCATGGCCTCAGGATTGGTTCACTTGGCAATCTAAGGTGTGCTCCCAGGCAAGCTGTTTGCTGTCTCTAGGAATTAGCTAACCCTGGGAAGGGCAGTGCCTCCTTGGCATCTGCAAGACTCTAAGATGTCAAAATACATCTTATAAAATACAGAAGATAAAATAAGATTAATACAAGCCTGTCTGAAACACTTGAAAGAAGCATAAAAACAGAGCTTCTCAAACTTTAATGTGCATAGGAATCACCTGGGTATTCTGTTAAACTACAGGTTCTGATTCATTAGGTCAGGTGGGCATTGAGATTTTGATTTTTTTTTTTTTTTTTGGCCACGCCCCACGGCATGGGTAACTTCCCCCACCAGGGATCAAACCTGCAGCCTCTGCAGTGGAAGCATGGAGTCTTAACCACTGGACCACCAGGGAAGTCCTGAAATTTTGCATTTCTAATAAAGTCCTTGGTGATGTTGGGGCCATGCTTTGAATAGTTAGGGCTAAGAATATCCCTTGGTCACCTTCTGCGGGGAAGAGGGAAGAACCTGACACTTGCCGAACCCTGCTTTGAACCAGATACTGCTTGGCCCTGAATACACAGACTTCATCTTGTTTTGCTTGGACAACATCCTTTGCTCTTAGGAAAAATTATCCCAGTGTTACAGGGAAGGGAACTGAGGCTCAGGGTAGTTAAGTAACCCGCCCAGGTCACTTAGCTGAAAGTCAGAAGATACAAATGTATCTGGCCCCAAACCTGAATTTTTTCCCACCACAACACATGTACAGATGGTTCCACTCCAGTGGAAAATAAAATGTCTCTGTTGGTAAAGGCTTTGTAAAATATAAAGCGTGGACTTGAATCATGGACCATTTACAACTTGAATTCTGAACAGAAGAGAAATTCTGAATGATGTTCATTATTTCAGGACCAGAAAGAAATGGTGCTGACTAAATAACTTATATTTTATTACAGCTATTCGAGAAACACTTCACACGGGATTCCCTAGTACACTAGTGTCTTTATCTTAAAAAGTGACGCATGTCCATGGTAAGATATAAACAACAAAAGTCTGCCTTCCTCCCATGTGCTTCCATTTCTACTGCGCAGAGAGAACTACCGTTAGGTCTGTGTAGCCTTTTGGAAATTCAGGGCAAATAGTAACCTTCTATGCAAATAATAAACTTTTTCATACAAATTCATTCACCCAGCCATTCATTTTTCAAGGGGGAAAAGGAGTAAGTAAGACATGCAACATCCCTCATGCACCTCACATTCCAGTAGGGGAGCTAGATCATAAGCAAAAGAGTGAAATAAACATTATGTCAAATAAGGATAAATGATAATGAAGAAAAAGCCGGTGGAGTGTGGGGGGGAGGGGCGGGGAACATTTGCAATTATAAATGCAGTGGTTAAGGAAGGCCTCATGGAAAAGATGGTATTTGAGCAGAGACATGAAAGAGGTCATCCTATTCCACATTTACATTTTCCTTTAGCAATATGTGTTAAAGCCCTTGCCGTATCACAACTTAAAGATCTACCTCATTCTTATTAATGGCCCCATAGTACTCCACCGTGTGCATATACCATAATACTGATGGGCATTCTGTTACTTAAGCAAAGGGAATGTTTTAGATTAAGCTTGTTATTGAACTTATTAGGTGATCGTCTGAGTGGTCATAAGGAGATTTGGGAAGCACGGTATAAAGCCTGATGAAGTAGAAAGAGCAATTAGACGTGAAGCTGTGGCTGGGAGCCCAAGTGTGCCACTCGACCAGGTGGCCATGTGATAACTGAGTATTCACTGAATGCCTGCTTCATATTAGTGGTTTTTCTTCCGCCCCATCTTAGGCAGGGCTACATCCACCAGGTGCAGGGGGGTGTCTAGGAGCTTCTCTACCCTGAGGGCAAGGCGACAACCTACTTGCAACATTTTCCTCAATGCCAGGCTACCCTGTAACCCCTGCGGAGTCAAATACAAACTCTCCAGGTGACAAGTTTTCCACATTCCCCACAAAGGAAGCACAAGCACAAATTTTAGGGAGCAGTTAACCCTCTGGGCTCTGACTACAATCTTCCTCTTTTAGGAGAACGCACGTAAGCTTCCTTAAAACAATAAGGAGCAAAAACTCCTTACCTTCTAGTAATATTTATTTACATGGGTACAGATGTTTAGCATTGGGCCATATGACTGAACATATTTCACACTTAATGAAAGATTCATTTATGCATTTAATTATTATCTGAGGCAGTACCTGGATTATGTCAGCACTCTGCCGGGCTCTGTAGGAGGAATAAATATCTGTGCAGTATGGTTCCTGCCCTTGTCACCTGCTAGCTCTTAACAAAGACTGGACAAGGGGAAAAATGACCGTGATTGAAAGCAGTGTGTGATCAGTTAGTGGTGCCAAGGACAATGTAACAGGAACTAAAGGAGAGGGGAGGATGCTATGATCCAGAGAGGGATCCTGGCTGAGATATAAACAGGTAGGGATGCAGGTGGAACCAGGGGACTTTGGGAAGGGATATGTGTGTGTGTGTGTGCGTGCGTGCGTGTATGTGTGTGTGTTTTGAGAACATGTATAAATGGAAGGTGAATATAACTGCACAGCCAGCAAAGGCCCAGGTGAGGGAAAATACAGGTATTACAAAGGGAACACGAAGCAGCCCACTAAGAGCTTAAACACAGAATACGGGGGGTGGTCGCAGATGACAGGAGATATTGGTTGGAGTGAGACTGGCAGAGGGTTCTGAGGCTCCCACCTTGCCATCAGATATGAGGTAAATAAATGAGTCTTGAAAGGTGTCAAGAAAAGCACCATCAACCTCTTCCTCTTGTTCTGTTTTTGCTTTTATGGGGCGGAGGGGTACTGCACACTTTGGTTTGATAACCTCTATTTCCAATTCCAGTAATTTAAGAAACCAACTTAATACTTATCAAAGTAATATACGCCTGTAGCTTAAAAAAGCAAGTACTCCGTAAGAGGGCTATAATCAAAACCAGCCATCCCCACCTGTCTCCACCACCCCCTCCTAGCTCCCCAGAAACCTCTTTTTTGTTTGTGGTTTGCTTTTACTGTGAAAGATAATGACTTGCCAGAGCGAGTAGCCTCCTACAGGGGTAAGACTTTTGCCCCAAGCAGTTGCTCTCAAGTTCGGTTAATCTATGGGCTGGCCCAGGGCAGGAAGACTAACCAGTAAGTCTAACCCAGCTCTCCCCCCCGTCAAGGAGGTTGAATCCTGTCATGGCAAAGAAAGGACACCACTTTTAACTTTCAATTCTGATATTTGAATCCATATATTTAAGTGATCTATGTACACTGATATTTCTTAAATGATCATTTTTAGAGATTATCTAATGTCTTACTACTCTGCAAAACGAGGAAAACTTGACACTGTTACACCATCACCACTTCCCAACAAGCGTTCTTCCCCCACCTTTCCAGTTGATTAAACTGCAATTTGGGGTTAAATCGATATTCTGTGTTTACGTTGTTGTGACCACATAGTATTGTTTACTACCGAGCCACGCAGTGTAAGAACGCACTTCCTAGCTTGTTCAATATTTTTTCTCCTGGTGCTACCTTTTTCTTCCTTCCTTCTTGTGTGTATCTATTACTAATCACTCTTGACCTTTTCAAAGGAACTATAAAAGCCCTACTAAAACCATTTTTGGCGTGAGCAACTCAACCAATGAATCTCTCAGATCTGTTTTTCCCTCCACAAGCCTACCATTGAGTCCGTCCGGTCTAGTGGTTTCCCAGGCCAGCTGCCCACCTGTTGTCCTGGGGCTTCTTTTTAACACCATCTTGCGAAATCCCTGTGCCTCTCGCCTGTGTTGGGTCCCCCGCTTCCTGGATCCCATGGTTTCCTCTTTCTTGGTTTACATCCTCATTTTTGTGGAGCTCATTCTCTAGTAGCTTCCTAAGAAAAGGTACACGGGAGGTAAGTTTGTTGAGACCTTCCTTGCGTGTCTGAAAAAGTCTTAATTCTACTCTCACGCGTGCTTGCTAATTAAGCTTGTCATTTAATTCTAGGTAAAAATTCGTCCCCCTCAGAATTTTGCAGGCTGAGTTTCACTGTCTTCTAGCATCCAGTGTTGCAGTTGAGAAGTCTGAGGCCACTGGTTCTCCTGCTCTTTTATCTGTGACCCGTTTTATTTCTCTGGAAGGTTTAGGAATCTCCTTTTTAGTCCCTGATTTTCTGAAATCTCACCGTAAAAAAACCTTAATGAGGATATTTTCTTATCCATTGTTCTGGGCACTTTCTCTTCCCTTTAAAGTTGGAAATTCCTGTTGTTCTGGTTTGCAAGTTTTCTTGAATTATTCTCTGATATTTGTCTCCCCACCATTTTATCTATTTTCTCCTTTCGGAACCTCTGTAGCGAAATGCTGAACCCTGTGGACTGATCCAACACCTCTTTTACCTTCTTTTTCCCACCCCACTATCCATCTTTGCCTGTTAATCTGCTTTCTAGAAAGTTTGCTGGACTTTACCTTTTACACCTCTGAATATTTTTTTTTAACTCTGAGTTTAATTTCTAAGATCTCTTTCTTATTTTCTGAGTGTTTCTTTTTTTATAGAATTTACCTTTTATTTCATGGATATAATATTGTCTCCCATCTTTCTGAAGATATAATAGATTTTTAAAAGCTCTTCTTTCGCTTCTTGAATTATCTATATTTTTCCGAGCCCCCCCACCCGTTTCTCTCTCTCTGTTCTGATCTCGATATTTTACTCTATATTTTCTATTCTATTGAGTATGGCTGGGAGCCATACTCAAGTATCTGGTGATCCTCTCACTATTCATTTATATTTAAGACTTTCACACATATATGTAACACATATATAAAGAAAATATACAATTTCTTTATATTTAGGTACAGTGAGTCCCTACACAACTGATTAGAAACACTGGCAGGGTGTGCGTATCACCTGGCAGGCGTCCCATGAGGTAATTGGGTAGGAATCTAGCCATTCCGATAGGGACTCCAAATGCAAGTCAGGTCATTTCTTTGAGTCATTCAGTTTCTCTAGATAAGAATCCTTTAAACTGCTGTCTAAAGAGCCTGTCCCAAAAGAATGTGGAAAAGAATAGATACACGTATATGTATAACCAAATCACTTTGCTGTACACCTGAAACTAACACAACATTGTTAATCAGCTATGCTCCAATATAAAATAAAAATCAAATAAAAAAATAAAGAGCCTGTCCCTGGCTACAGGTGCTTTGGGAGCTACGTTGTAGAACAGTCCAGGAGGGTCTCACCTGTTCACTCTACAGAGTTTCACTTAATTTTCCTGGTTTCACCTCTCCATCCTGGGCCTCGTTTCCCTGAGTCCAGAGCATCTCTGATTCAATTCAGCCCAAGACTATGCCTCACGCCTCCAGCAGGGATGGAGATTGGGTAGTGGCAGTGTGAGGGTGGGAGAGGAACAGGGCCGAGCTAGTCCCTGCACTCCGTTCCACTAAGTACTACTAACTACTAACTACTCTGTAACTACTGTGAACTAGTCCCCCCTTTTGCAGGCTCACCCTCACACCCTTCTTAAGTCTCCCCAGGGTCCTTGCAGAATCCATCTGTGGGCTTCTCTCAGTACCCCTCAGCCACTCCCCCTCCATCACTGTGCCATCTTCCCAAAGTTTGCTGACACCTCTTGTTTAGTACCACCTCCCCCTCTGTTCTCTCTCACTCTCAATCTGTGTATAGCTTTTTTTAAATTCTTTCCTGAAATTTTAGGGAGATTTTTGGAATTAGAAGATATAAATGCATGTGTTCAATCTGACAGAACGACAAGTTACCAGTCTTATAAATTTTATTTTGTACTTATGTACTTATTATGTACTTCACTCTAGAAAGCTTATCCAGAGAACTTTAGGTGTTGCCCTAAATCAACTACTAACTACGTAACAACTGTAATACTTTCAGGTAGGATATTACTGAAATCATTTTAATTCTCTGTGACTTTCTAGGGAGTACCAGGCAAAGTGAGTTAAACTCCTCCATAAATTTATCTTTATAGACTCTCATTATTATCCTGGCTCTAGAAATTTGGACCAACAGTCAATTTGAGGCAGATGCCACATCAAATTTTAAATATGAAGGAAGGGAGGGAGGGAGGGAGGGAAGGGAAGGGAGGAGGGAGAGATGGAGGGATGGGGGAGGAAAAAAAGAAAGAAACAGACATCAAGAAAATGATTTAAAAATAGAATAGTGAGAGGATTGGCCTAAATAAATAACTATTTTAAGAAAAGCTATGTAAGTTTATTAAATAAGAAAAGAGACTGCAGAAAATCATCTGCCTTTAAGATAACTAAACAATGATCACTCACTTGGAAGGCAGTTGAGTAATTTCTGCCCTGAACATTAGCTGTGAAACTCCAGTCATTCATTCAACAACTTGCACCCAAAATTCATATAAAAAAATCACCATTATCCAGCAAGAAACTATCCACATTAGAAATTCTCACAATTACATATACAGATCACCTTCTAATAATGTACTCACCCTTTTACTGCATATATATATATATATATATATATATATATATGCATTCCTCACTTCATCCCCCAAACAAATTTAAGTCAGCTTGCTGGTTATCCTTTTAATATATTAGTTGAAGGTATTTTTACTTTCCTGAGTATATTTCTTACAAATTTGTCGACCTAAAATTATGTCATCCTCTTTATTCTGTGCCACACTCAATTATGGGCCAATAAGCTTCTAAAAAGTTAACCATGTTGTCAACAGGAATGCTTCTAATGTAGCTGTAATCACACTTTTGAGCTTTTTGATAAGATGAAAAACTTTGTAGTCAGACTGACCTTGTTTTGCATCCCGACTCTTCCACTTATTGAATGTATGACCTTCAGGGAGCTGATAACCTCCCCACAAGGAAAATGGACAAACTATTATCTATTTTGCAGGTTGTCATATGGATGAAATTGTAAAATGCATATAAAGAACCTGACATATTGTAGGTGTCCAATAAATCCAAGCTATTAAAATCAGAACATGAGAGGATATTGACACCTTAACTCTAAAAATACACTCTCTAAGTGAAGAGTTTTCACTTCCATTTTTAGGCATCAGATCACTGGTGTGCTGGTCAACTAGAAGCAACTTGCCAGCCACTGAAAAGCAACGGGGAAGTTCTTACAGGCAATTAGGGAAAGCATTGTGAAAGTAGGGGTGTGGGAAGGAGGCCTGGAAAAAAATTTAAAGTATTTGACTTTGGATCAGTTCCTTAACCTTTTTGTAGTTTATTTAACTATAAAATTAGGAGGTTGGATGACGTCCCTCCAGATGTTCACAATAAAGAGTTCTGCGGCTGGATAATTCTGGAATATGACCCCTTCATCCCATGCTTGCCCCCTCCCCCATTTAAGGCAGCAGTTTGATTTTGTTTTACCTGGCATATTACAAACTTATCCGCCTACAAATCCTCCCCATTTTTTCCCCCCAAATAGTAGCATATTTTGGAAAAGACGGATGAGCTGATCTGCGGTTTCTCATTCTGTAATATGCTGCTCTGAGTTTTACTACTTCACGTAAACGTTTGGTTAAGGAAAGAAGGGTAAACGTGACGTGTATAGCAGCATATAACTTTTAGGGTGGGAGAAAAATCTATCGCCATTCCAGTGAAACCAGATATTTCTAAGTATAGTTTAACATTTCATCTATGTGGTACCGTCAATGTCTTGAGCAGCTGATCACCAAAGCATCCACTGAACTGCTGCCAATGAAGACAGACATATTACTGGGACACATCTGGCAACTTTGGCAATCAGTGAATGAAATGAATCAACCATGTAGTGAGCGGACTGGCTGCTTGGTGACCAACGTGACTGGAATGGAAAATAACTGTGGGATAAATTAATCCTTAGACTGCAGGACTGAACCGTGATAACCAGAATAAAACTCAAATGTGTGTTCATGATGAATACATTTTCATGCTACAATTACAAATCCACCAGTTAAATTATTTCTAATAGTAAAATACGTTCACTTTTTCTATCAATCTACCAACATTTACTTTTATCTGAAAGGAAAAGACTGTGCAAAGTGTTTGCTGGGAACGAAAGGATATAGTAGGAAAGAGGCCAAAGAACCTACCAGAAAAAGATCTAGGAGCCAGATGCTCTGTCAGTAACTTTCCATGTAGCCTTCAGTAAGTCTCTGTTTTCTTACTTTTAAAAATAACTAGCCTCAAGTAGCTTATAATTTAGTTGATTATATTTACAAATTTGGGATTTCCATTTAATGCCTTCTTACATTACAAAATCATTCTTAATTTATCTACATAGTGGAGATAAAAGTGAATGAATATTCTGATGTTCTTCAATTAACTACATGCAATGAAGACCCCCTGTTTCACTTTAATTGTAGGAATTCTATTAGAACCTGTTGCGATGTATTTCCTTTCTCTCTTGATATGTCTCCTGCCCCTCAAGGCTGCTAAGGTTTGAAAGTGTTCTAATTATTTCTATATTTTCATAAAATACTCTATTTCCACCCCCAAAATACTTTTCCTTCTTCTCAAGAGGAAGTTTTTCAGAAAACAATTCTGTAGAATCCGAAGGGTGAGTGTGTTAGTAGTAGGGTGACCGACTGAGGGGCTTCCCACTGTGTAGGACTTCCTGCTCTAAAACTAGCACAGTCCCTGACAAATGGAGATCGTGGGTCACCTTGGTTGGTAGCTTGAGAGAAGGACTGGAAGTGGCAATGGATGCCTGCATCAGAAAGTTGCCATTTTAATCCTCCTATTAGAAGTACTCTTCTTTCATCGCTAAACAGCTGTAGAAAGCCATCCAACAGCAGATGGATGAATGCATTTAATGACCTTAACTTTCTCTTACACCAGTGGTTCTCAATTCTGGCTTCTTACTAAAATCATCTGGTTAGCTTTCTTTTTTTTTTT